GCCCAACTCCCCTGATTACTTTTCTCCTAGCAAGAAAAAAGCACCTTCTAAAACGTGTCCAAAGCCATGTTTTTGTAAATGCATTTAGGTGCGTTTAGACATTTTAAGTGCTTGGGCGTTAAATCATTCTTTCTTTATAAATAATGATTTATGAATCAACACTCAAGTGCTTAACGCACCTAGCATTAAAGCACATTTACCAATGTTTACACAAGTATATGTGCGTCAATTGTTTTTTCTGCCAAAATTCTGCTGCTCCTGAACGCGCTGGCATTGGGTTCTTTTTTCTGCCTCTAAATACCTGTAAAAGCCTATGTGTACAAGGACACATAAGCTAACGATGAAGGTCGTTTAGAGGCAGAAAACGCTCCTTAAATTTGGCATTTTTAATTCCCAGTGTGCATACGCCCTTAGTTGTGGTGGCTGCATTAGTTTTTTTTTTACCTGATGATCCAGCGAATAAGTCAGTTGGTGTGTGTGTGTGTTTTTAACAGAACAAGCTCTCCTGCAAATGTATCAGTTAAGAGTGTTGAGACAAACCATTGATCACTGACAGTGATCAGTTTGTATTTATTCATATAAAACATGAAAAGAAAAATTGTTTCCTGTAACTGTAGTGTGAGCTGGAGTTTAGTCTGTTTGTTAGTGTACTTAAATCTGTTAGTACATCTAACATTCCCCTTGCCCGAGACTGACAATGCTGCTGTCCAAAAGTACCCCCTATGCTTATTTATCCAGAGTCTAATACAGGAGGTGTGTTACTGGTCAGATCACCAGGTGAAAAAGCCTAAAAAAGAAAACAAATGCAGCCACCACATCTAATGATTGGTATGCTGAAGTTTGGGTTTTGGGTTTAATACCACTTTAATGAAATACCTTTTTGAGGAGGATTGTGGATAGATTAGGGAAGGGTTAGATAAGTTTCTTGCTGTCTGTATTGTCTACGGAAAATGCTATTTGCTAAGTGAGGGAATTTAACTCGCTTGTCAGTAATTAAACCTGACAGAGGTTCCAACCCTTTTGCAGTCTATCCAAAAATAAGTGAAATTATGTGGCTGGACTTGGTGAAGGAGTTTTGTAGAGCAGTGGGAGTAACCTGATGGGGAACTGAAAGACTAGTTTCCCATCATTTCCACTTTAATTTTGCTAGAGAGTATTCAGTCCAAGAGCGGATTTCAAATCTGCCACTGGTGTGCACTGTCAACTAGAGGACCAGATCGGGTACTACTCTCTCAGTTCCCCATCAGGCTCCACCCATCCAGTGACAAGTTATTCCCAAATATGGGCATTGACCTATTTGGGTATTGATATCACCACCATCACACATAGCTCAGTTATTTTTTAGCGCAATCCAGTGAGATTTGAAAATTACAGTCACATTCCCTTAAATCAAAATATCTATCCTTCTAGAATTGAGCCTCATGGCTTAATTCATAAACCTTTACCACAAATATAAGGATCTTTTGTTTTTAGCAATGTGATATCATTTTCAAACCTGAGAAAAACATTTACCCAAACTGGAATTTAAAGCGGAGTTCCAGTTAAATAAAAAAAAATAAAAGTCAGCAGCTACAAAAACTGTAGCTGCTGACTTTTAAAATACAGACACTTACCTGTCCCTCAGACCAGCAGTGTCCTCACCAAGGCTGATTTCACTGGCTGATTTCTGTCTCCGACATCTTCAGTGTGGGCACCCTGCTGTGATAGCTTGCATTTTCACAGCCGGGTGCCCACTGCACATATGCAAGTAGCGCTGCGCTTTGTGAATGGTCCCATAGTCTTTTGGGACCTGTCACATGTCCCAGGAGACTACGGGGAGGGAGGGCAACTTCTGCTTCCAATCGCCTTAGGAAGTGGGAGCAGGTAACTGTCAAATTTGTTAAGGATTGGCACCTTTGGGGAGCAGGGGACAAAGTCTTAAAGCAGAACTTCCCCTTTTGGGGTGGAGCTCCACATTAAGGTAAAAAAATGGTGAACAGGAAGGAATTTTAATGCAGAAGAGAAATACTTTGACTCTTCTGCATTAAAGTTACTTACCTGCTTGTCTGCCCTGTACAGTGAGCCGCGCATGTGCAGCTCACTGTACAAATTTGGCAATGCTGAATCTGACTGCACACCCGTGCATGTGCAGGAGTGACATCATCTCCGCCTGGTCAATGACAGAGGCTGGTGATCAAGACCTGGAAGCCGGCTGCCCAAAGGTGTCAGTGGCTCGGGCGGGGAGTAGTGGGACGCCGCATCACTGAAGCCAAGGTGAGTATAGTTCTGCTTTAATTTATTAAACTACAAACTTTAAAGCAGACTTGCATCCTCTTTACCAACTTTCCATTAAAATACACTGACCCCCCTCCTTTCATACAATTGCAGATTTTTAAAATACCTTTTTTTTATTCCCCTCTGCCCCACATTTCCAGATTTTTCACCTATGTGAGAGTGAAGTACCCCCCCAATCCACATCATATGCATATGAGCTGCTGAGTGTCATCAGGACTCTAGCTGTCTCTTTCTTGCTGCCAGCCCCCTGATGACAAACTATTGTGCATATACATCATCAGGGGGCTGGCTGCAAGAGCCAAAAAAAGACAACCAGCTCCCAATGACATAAGAAATGTTAATAGTGGCATGGGACTGGGTGTGCAGCTGTGACATACAGAACCTATACAGAACACAGATGGATTAGCTGCACAAGTATATTTTTTCTGGATAACCCAGTGAAAAGGTAAGAGAAATCCCATAGGGAGGTGAAGTTCATCTTTTAAAATGAAACTAATGATAAAATTTAAAAAATTACATTTACAATGCAGTCTGTCACTAGCAGTAATATTAGAGATTTGCATGATGGAAAAATTTGTTTAATTTCATTTTGATTTACTAAATTAAATTATTTTGTTTAATCATAATCGTTATGTTCGAATTATTCATTTCAGAACGATTTGTTATTTTGGGAGAGTATATATTAGTTTTTCCAAATTGATTTGTATTTTCGTAACTTCTGTTGTTCTTTTGTTATTTCGGAAGATTTGCTATATTAAGTTTTAACATTATTAAAGCAGATCTCCAGTCTCCTATGTAAAGATTAATGGTCAGCAGCTACAAAACCTATAGCTGCTGACTTTTAATAAACAACCACTCGTTTGTCCTGCATTCCAGAGCCATGCTCGGCCCAGCCGTTTTCACCTTGTGAGACGTCTCTCCCCGGCACTGGCATCTTCAGTATGGGCACCCGGCTGGGGAGAACTTGCGGCTTCCCAGCCGGGTGCTCACTGTGCAAGCGCACGTGGAACTGCACACTGTGAATAGTCTGTCAGTCTTCTGGGACCTGTCGTGTCTGCACACTCCTCCACTATACAGAATCTGTAGAGGAGTAGCATAGCCACCCTTGGACAGCAGCATTGTCATCCTGAGAAGAGGGTGAACAAGTGATTAACAAATGAAATCCTAACTATGTTAATAAACGATAACCATTGTAGGTAAATAATGTGTAACAACAGTGAAGTCAATCAGGGAGCTTTGACTCATTTCCATTCCATTTTGAATAGAGATTACTTTTAACTGCAGGAGCATCTTTTATAAAAACTGTCCTGACTTCTAACTGAGTACACACAGAGACCTCACCACACTGTAGGAACAGGAGTGCCCCAAGGAAGATGGGCAGTGTGCTGGGTAAACAGTGCTTGTTTCTGGTCAATGATCTGTGACCAACATATAAAGTAAAAAATAAAAAACAAGGCAGTAATAAAGCAGAACTAAAACCTTCAATAACAAAACTGCAAGTAGACAGGCTCTTTATTGCAGAAGAAACATGCAACTGACTGATGCCGGGATATTTTTTTCACTAACCGACCACCAATGCTGGGAAAATCTTATCTTCTATATCAATGCAGTGACAGTTTTTCCACCCACTGGTTACTGACACTGGGACAGTTTTTTTCTCCTACTGACCACTGACATTGGGACATTTTTTCTCTCACTGACCGCCAACACTGGAACATTTCTTCTTCATACTGATCTCAATTTTTCCTTTCAATCACCACTGCCACCAGGGAATTTGTTTTATCCACCCACTGACCAAAAATTCCCACTGAGGACCAATGATAATAATTTTTCCACTCCAGACTACCCATACTGACAATTTTCCTCCTGATGACCACTGAGGCCATAGCATTTTTCTTCCCACTCACCATCAATACTGAGGATATTTCCTCACATTGGCCACCAAGACTGATGTTTTTTCCCACTCCTTCTGTGTGCAGAAAAACATTGGAGGAGTCTGGGGTCTGATGGAATCTGAATAAGGTAATTTATACAACCATAAGGTGGTTGTTGTTTTTTTTTTTTTTTGCATTTTATACATGGAGGTAAAAGAAAACCTTCTGAGTATAGCTCCCTCCCCAGCTCACCATATACTCGCCTAAGCATGATCTCAATCCGGCAATGTGCATGAGATCCGAGGCTCTCTTGGCTCTCTCACTTGTCATTTGCTTGGAGACAGCAGTGGGAACCATTGGCTTCCACTGCTGTCAATAACAGCCAATGAGGAGGGGGCAGGGCTGAGCTGCACTTTGTTTATCTTATGGACACATGTGAGAAGGCCTGCACGAGTGCCCCCATAGCAATCATCTTTCTATGATGGGCATTTGGTGAGGGGGAGGGGCCAGGAGCACTGGCCGGGGACCCGAGAAGAGGAGGATCAGGGCTGCTCTGTGTAAAACCGTTGCATGGAGCAGGTAAGTATGACATGTTTGTTATTTAACCACTAGCCTACAGGGCACTTATACCCCCTTCCTGCCCAGGCCAATTTCCAGCTTTCAGCGCTGTCACACTTTGAATGACAATTGCGCGGTCATGCAACATTGTACCCATATGAAATTTTTATCATTTTTTTGAGACAGAGCTTTCTTTTGGTGGTATTTAATCACCTGTGGGATTTTTATTTTTTCTTAAACAAACCAAAAAACACTGAAAATTTTGGAAAAAAAAAAGTTTTTTCTTAGTTTTTGTTATACAATTTTGTAAATAAGTGATTTTTCTCCTTCACGGATGTGCGCTAATGAGGCTGCAGTGATGGGCACTGATAGGTGGCACTGATGGACACTGATAGGTGGCACTGATGGGCACTGATGAGGAGGCACTGGTAGGTTGCACTGATGGGCATTGACAGGCATCACTGATACATGACACTGATACATGACACTGATATATGGCACTGATAGGCGTGCTGTTAGGCGGCACTGAGTGGCACTGTTAGGCGGCACTGACTGGCACTGTTAGGCGGCACTGACTGGCACTGATAGGCGACACTGATTGGCATTGATAGGTGGCACTGACTGGCACTGATGGGTGATATTGAAAGGCAGCTCAGAAGGGCACTGATATGTGGCATTGATGTGCACTGGTATGCACTGATATGTGGCATTGATGTGGCACTGATGGGCACTGATATGTGGCATTGATGTGGTACTGATGGGCACTGGCACTGATGAGCACTGACAGGAGGCACTTCTGGGGCCACACTGATCATCAGGGCACACTGATCATCAGTGCCCTGATGATCAGTGTACATGTCCCCTCCGCGGAAAGCCGATTACCGGCTCTCCTCTCCTCTTGAGCTGTCAGCGGGACAGCTCGAGAGGAGAAAAATGCCAATAACCGGCATTTCCGTGTTTACATGTGATCAGCTGTGATTGGACACAGCTGATCACATGACCGAGCTGACATCTTCGGCTCTTTCCATGATCCGCTGTGTCCGAGGGACACAGCGGACCAGTGATCGCCGTGCTGCGCGCTCCCTGAGACGCGCATGCGCAGTGAGAATGGTAGGATGTCATATGACGTCCTATCAGAACGACAGAACCACCTTACGCCCGTCATTGTACTATAGGGTGGGCGGAAGGTGGTTTACCACTTCAGCTCTGGAAGGTTTTACCTCCTTCATGCCAGGCCATTTCTTGCCATTTGCGCTACTTTAACTGGTAATTGCGCAGTAATGCAGCACTGCACCCAAACTAAGTTTATATAATTTTTTTCACACATATAGAGCTTTATTTTGGTGGTATTTTATCACCACTGGGTTTTTACTTTTTTATTATGTAATTGAAAAAAACACCAAAACATTTGAAAAAAAAAACCCAGTATTTTGTACTTTTTGCTATAAAACATATCTAATAATAATAATGAAAAAAAAGAAATCAAATATATTCATACATTTAGGCTAAGATGTATTCTGCTACATGTCTTTGGTACAAAAATAAATTCCAATAAGTGTATATTGATTGGTTGCGTGAAAGTTATAGCGTGACTGACATCACCAGTGACACTAATACAAGGGGCATTCAAGTGAAACCGGGGCTTTTAATTTTACAGGTATAAAAAGGGATGCTAGCATGATGGTACTACTTGCAGTAGTAAGTGGCAAGTGTGTCCTATTACTGATAAGCGGTGCACATGTGACACATGACGAAACCTGGGCACATCATTTCACTCCGGAATCATGGTTCCATCAAAGCAGTGGAAGCATGCGGACTCACCACCACCAAAATGTTTTTTAACAGTCTGCAGTTATAGTGATGGCAAGTGTTTTCTGGGACAAATGTGGTGGTTTTCTACCCCGTGGTGCCACTGTCAACAGTGAATATTACTGTTGTGTTCTGAGTGATGTGCATACATGTCTGCGGAAAAAAATGGCCTGGTTTGATTACTAAAGGCATCCTGTTTCTCGAAGACAACGTACAAGCTCATACTACTCACTGCACTACGTGCACATTACAGCGACTCAGCTGGAAGGTATTGCCACATCTCCTTACAGCCTGGACCTTGCTCCAAGTGATTTCCACCTGTTTGGACCCCTAAAAGAGTTCCTCGGAGGTCAGCATTTCAGCACTGATGACGAAATGAAGCAGGCTGTCTTAGGATGGTTCAAGCGTAATGACAAATCCTTCTATACCGAAGCTTTCCAGGCATTCGTTAAATGCTGGGATAAGTATATAAATGTAGGAGGGGAGTAGGATGAAAAATAAATGCAGTTTCCACTCCTTGAAATTTGTTCTTTTATTATATAAACTCAAAAGTTCCAGTTTGACTTGAATGTGCATTGATTAGTGATAATACTATACACTGTCATTGTACTAATGACATGGGAAGGGGTTAAGGGGTCAATGGGAAGGGGTTAAGATCTCTGGGTAATCAAGGGTTAAATGTGTGCCTAATACGTTTTAATTTGTGTAATTTGTGCTGCTTTATACTAAGTACAGTGGCACAGACGAGCGTCTCACAGACATACACATCCCTCTGCACATTGTTTAACAACTTACCCGCCGCCGTATAGTAGATATACTGCTACACGGCGGCACGGGCAGGGGCGGACTAACCATTTGGAAACTCGGGCACTTCGCGAGGGGTCAGTAGGGGGCCCCATGAGATGCCCCTGGTACCTTTTTCATAGGCTTTTTTGAGTTTGGACAAGGACACAGGGGCCCAATGATCCCTTATAACTGGGGGCACCATGAGTAGTCAGTCCGCCCCTGGGCACAGGTGTGCAAAATCACGTATAGATATGTTATTTTGCATTTCCTTGTAGGGTGGCGTACGCACGCCCTACCTGCGCTGCCATTCGTGGCCACAAATGACAATCACCGGGTCCCAGCCAGTGATTACCCCCCGGTGATTACCGACAGGGAGGAAGACTTTTTTTTTTCTTACAAACAGTCTTTCTCCCTGTCAGCTTGGGCACACTGCTTGGGATTGCTGTGCACAGCACAGCCATTCCGATCAGTGTGCTTACAGTGAATCACATACCCCCGTCCCCTAGTAAAACACTCCCTACACACAGTTAACCCATTGATCGCCCCTCACATTAACCTCTTCCTGCCCAGTGTCATTAGTACAGTATCAGTGCTGTATCAGTGCTGCCCTGTATTAGTGCCGTATCATTGCTGTCAGTGACACCTAGATAGTCCCCCCCCAGTGTCAGAATGCTGTCAGGGAGCGAGGAGCCAGACACACAAGGAGGTGCAATTAAAGGTAGGTTTATTAGTATAAAAATAAGACAAGAGTCTATGCAAGTCCAACAGCGGAAATCGTAGCCAAAGCCAGGGTCAAGAGCCAGGAAGAATGGTCGCCAGAGCCGGGATCAGGAGCCAGGAAGAATCGTCACCAGAGCCGGGATCAGGAGCCAGGAAGAATCGTCGCCAGAGCCGGGATCAAGAGCCAGGAAGAATGGTCGCCAGAGCCGGGGTCAGAAGCCAGGAGGAGTCTTAGCCAAAGCCAGCGTTCTGATCACCCCATATGCCATACCAGCGTCCTGATCATCGCCATACCGCATACCAGTATCCTGATCACGCCATACCCCATACCAGCGCCATGATCACGCCATACCAGCATCCTGATCAACGCTATACCCCATACCAGCATCCTGATCACCGCCATACCCCATACCAGCGTTCTGATCACCCCATATGCCATACCAGAATCCTGATCATCGCCATACCCCATACCAGTATCCTGATCCCGCCATACCCCATACCAGCACCATGATCACACCATACCCCATACCAGCGCCATGATCACACCATACCCCATACGAGCATCCTGATCACCACCATACCCCATACCAACATCCTGATCACCGCCATACCCCATACCATCATTCTGATCAACCCATATGCCATACCAGTGTCTTGATCATTGCTATACCCCATACCAGCATTCTGATCACACAATATGCCATATTAGTATCCTGATCACCACCATACCCCATACCAGCATTCTGATCAACCCATATACCATACCAGTGTCTGATCACTGCTATACCACGTACCTGCATCTGATTTTGTAGGGTCTTAACTGATCAATTTTTCAGATATACTGTTTATCCCATAGTTTGTAGACTTTATAACGTTCACAGACTAAAACTGTTTTGGGTTATTTTTACCCCCCCAAAAATGTAACATAACACATTTGGACTACATTTAAGAAGAAAGATTATTTATTTTCAAAAATTTATAGCAAAAACTAAGGAAAAACATTTTTTTTCCAAATTTTTTGTATGTTTTCATTTATACAGCAAACAAAACAAAAAAAATCAGTGATGATTAAATATCACCAAAAGAAAGCTCTATCTGTTTAAAAAAAAAGATACATATTTAATTTGGGTACAGTGTTACATGACTGAGTTATGGAAGGGGGTGAAAGTGTCTGGACTTGAAGCGGTTAAAATTAAAACTCTTTCATTGCACGTGTCTGAACAAAATATAGACAGACCACAAACAATTTGTCTGAGCGTAGCTTAAAGAAAGTTTTCATTTGAAATAGTCAGGGACTCGTACAGTATATGACCATCCATGATGTTTACTTTATTGGATTCAAGCCTTTCTTTGCTATTGTCTCTTTAAAATGTTATTGGCAGCTACTGCCCTGTTACTATGTACAATGTTTACTGAGGATATTTATATGCCATTCTGTTATTTCGTCTGGTTGTATGTTGAAACTTTTCAATAAAAATTACTGTCTCCTGTCAGAGACTTTTATGTGGTAATAAAACACTCCACTAGAGGTCCTACACAACAAGCAAATAATTCACTTATGAGTTTTTCTTCCAGGACGATTTATATTTCATATATAGTGTCACATGTGTAAATATATGGGGATAATGTCCAACAAAAATCAGCATGATCCTATGAATTTCACCACTGCACTCCCAGCACCTTAAACCCCCTTCACACGTTTGACTTCAAGATTTTTTTTTACATGTGTGCAGATTTTGTTGGCTTTGAATCTAATACATGTTTTGCATTTGTAGTCCATCCTAACATATTAGCATTTTAGCGTTTACATAAATAGGACATCCCCAGATATGTACTACAATATAATCAACCACGCCTTCTGCCTACAAAGATACCATGCAAATATGCTTTTTTTTATATAAAACATAGCGGTAATAAGGCCCAAAAATAAAAGTTCAGCTGTTTCAGAGAGCATTTTAACTCTTTGATATTTACATTGCAACATCCATGGGTAAAAAAAAATCAGTTTGCATAAATCATTATGGTTGCACTATAAATAGGTTGAGTTTGAACAATTAAGAACTGATGGAAGGCTTGTGTGAGCATTTGCTACTATGTTCGATATAGTATGATGCTGCTGGGTAATATACTGTTTTTCCTGGACCTCCCCATGTCAGCCTACCATGGGTCAGCTCCGCCCTCTCTGACCCCTCCAGGACAACCTCTTTCCTAGCCCATAAGAGCGGCTGTCTCCCCTCACTCAGCGTTCTTTTTTTCGTCCTCGCTCCGGAGGAGCATGTTATGCATGTTTTAAAACTGTTTGCATATTGACTATGCCACCCTACAGCAGTTATTTCTGTAGGGTAGTATAAAGTACTGCTGGGAAGGTGGGGTGACTTACCTGTGCATAGTTTTGCTGGCTTGTAGTCACATATCTCAGTAAGTCTGTGGACTAGCTGGCGCTTGTAGTCCATATTTCAGCATGTCTGTGGGCTGACTGGCACTTGTAGTCACATATCTCATTAGGTCTTTGGGCTAGCTGGCACTTGTAGTCCATATCTCAGCACGTCTGTGGGCTGGCTGGCATCTGGGGCTGGTAATCCCCACATTCATGGTGGCAGTGTCCAGCTACAGAGCAAGCGAGGTGGTACATGTGCAAGGGCAGCTTCCCAGGTTGCCATGGAGCTGCCGGGATGCTCTGTAACACAGAGAGCTAG